GAGTTCTGAATCAGGTGTAGTTTCACAATAAAATAATCCATGCATTTGATGTAGCGCTTTTCATATCTTTGAGACGCCTCAAAGCGCTTCACAGGATATACTGTCTCAGTTTCTCAGTTATAAACACACGTTGGAAATTATCTCAACAAAACCAACCATTTAATATTTCCATTGAGATCTCCAATATTCAACACTGTATTACTAACATTGAGGAGTGCGGGGGTGGGGGGGTTGCTTACAATGGCAACGTAAATCCCCTCTCCCAGCCCCAGACCCCCACCCCACACACACACACACATTGGAAATCGCACTAATTGTAAACAATGAGCTCTCCACATGACAGCACTTGGGCAGATGTGCACATTGTAATGGACTGGATTTGACACAATGAAGAACCGAAGATAAATGATCTTGTTTGTTTCGGTGACGGGAACAGGCGGCGCTGGGATGAAGGGAAGAATTCCCGGGCACAATTCCCAGCAGCCAGCATTCCGAGTGTGAGGATGCATCCTGAGAGCAGAGGCACATTCCCAGCCAGTGTGTCATTTACCAGCTCTTTGTTGGCCTTTGACCCCTCCCACCCATGTGGACGGCAGCATTACTCAATGCAGTGCTCATTAGACTGAAGAACTTCTTTCACTCGGTTTGTTATGTCAGTGAGGAGCACGGACAGAGCAGGCTTCACAATGACGATCGAGACCTCACCACCACAAATTCCACCCAGTTTTAGCCTGGAGACCGCCCGGTCTGAAAAATTTAAGACGGCGCAAGATTGGGGGGAGATTCCTTTCCCGAGTCTGGAGTGAGAGAGAATGAGGCTTCCCACACTTCAGGTCTCAGAACGGAAAGCAAGAGGCTTCTAAATTAAGAATTCTCCCCGATTATTAAATTGTAAGAGCATGAACCGGCTCAGACCCCATGCAGTGTTAGACACTCTGCCGTCTCCAGTGTGTGGCTCTTTGTCAATCTGGCATCGGAGGGTGAAAAGGAAAAATCATCGCCACTCATAACTGAATGAACTTTAGTGACAATGCAAGCTTTACCTCTGGAAATCTCTGCCTCAATCCCTCCATCTCATTTCCATCCCCCCCACCCATCTTTAGATCACACCTGAAGACTTTCCTATTGGACTGTGCCTAAGGTAGGGTGACCAAATTTTGTCGACCAAACCTGGGGATACATGTGAAACAAATTGACATCCCCACAATTGCTGATGCTGGCAGTAACTGTTGGATTAATAGTTGTGTTTCTCTGATGAGTTAATCTATTTTACAATGTTATTGTTCTTGCTCAGTTTGTGGCTGAACTGAAGACAGGGAAAAATTTGGTTCCAAAGACACAACATCTCATCCGGGAATCGGGGGCATATGGTCTCCCTAGCCTATGGTCGCCTCCCCATTTTCCCCGGCTCAGCATCAAACTCCGCCATTGTTAAGCGCTCCGAGACTCTACCCTGCGTGAAGGGCGCTGTGTGACTGCAGGTCATTATTGCTCCTGTCTGTCTCTCTCTCGGTGAGTCCATCTCCTTTGCCAAAGAAACTCGAAAGTATTTGCAACAAATCAGAACTGAGGAGCACCGACTGGCGCAAGATAACCACAGGCTCCGGGATCCAGAAAAATCCCTCCCTCACCCTCCCCGCCTCCCTCCCCTCCTCAGGAAGTCTCAGCAGATATACACGTCCCGGTTCCATTCCTCGGCCTGGCTGTGCTGGTAGCAGTCAGCGGCTCGGTGCTTCCTCACGCCCCTCTCACACTGCCATTCCTCCTCCTGCTGCCCTCGGCCCAACCACAGGCAACCGCTGCCCTGGCCCTCCTCTTCTTCCTCCTCCTCCTCATACGTGTCCGTCTCCAGGAGGGAATCTCCCGGTTCAGTGTAGGCCGAATCCCTACTTCCCTGAGTTTCCAGGTCGCAGGTGTCCTTACGGGAGCAGACCCGACCGGGGCGCTGGGGGTATCGCGGAGCGGGGGGCGATGGCTTGTCTGAGTTGCTCCGGGAATCATGCAAAGCCAGTTGGGCGGGCAGTGAGCACTCGTCTGTCTGCTCCCCATGAACCAAGTAGGGGCTCTGGTTAGTGACACACCATGCGGAGAGGAGGGGGGAGGGTGGAGAGAGGAGAAAGGGAGAGATAGGAGAGGGTGGGAGAAGAGAGTGAGGAGAGAGGGGGATAGATAGGAGAGAGGGGGGAGGAGAGAGAGGGGGGGAGGAGAGAGGGTGGGGGGGTGAGAAGGAGGAGGGGAAGGAAGCAGGAGGAGAGGGAGGGAAACGTATACAAGTTAGTCATCAACATGGCGTACCATCAGGTTAGTGACACAATTCACCAGCAACAAACAAACACAGAACATTCCCATCAGATTTTGCCTTGAAAGAAACATAATTGGGTTGGAGTTTGAGGATGGCTGTCTGTTTGTCCATTGCAGTTAGAAAGATTCTGGGTTCTAGTAGGTAAAGCCACATAAAAAATCTATACTTAAACCGGTGGCTTCACTGCTTTGATTTTTGCAGAGATCGGATACGTTTGTGATCTTTAAATGGTTAAATGAAACCATCTGGCTGAAAAGATTTAGGGTTAGGTGCTCTGGGTTAGGGCTCTGCGAAGGTTTAACCCTACAGATTTTCTCTCTCCCACTGTTTGTTATGGTGATCACAGACATCCTCAACATTGCAAAACACTTTGCAGGCCATCGCTGTCAAGTGCAGTGACTGTGTTTGTGGGCAATCAGCGTGTTGGCCTATAAGACACACAGTCACTACACTTTGCAGTGAATCCTGAGAGACATCCCCTTGGCATGAAAGGCACTGTATCAAATGCATTGATTATTATTTATTACATCTATATCATTATTATTACTATTCATAATCTGAGAGCGGGGGGGATCAGAGAGAATCCCTGTGCGTTTGGTTCACTCACTCAGTGACTGCTGCGGGGCGAGGGTGGGTATCAATTAAATACCCCGAATAAATAAAAAGAAAGAATTCTGGAAACACACGTCTGAATTAGCAAATTACCTTTCAAATATTATATACTTGTTTCAGTTTGCCAACAAAACACACACTCACTGCAGTCACTTTTCAGCAAGTCCTATGAGGCACTTTGGGACGTCCCCCTGAGATGAAAGGCGATCTATCAAATGTAAGATTCTTAGTATTTTTTGAAAATCAGTTAAGGTAACGACAAAGTGTCATTCATTCACCTTGTGTGTCTAAGCTTATTATTATTATTATTATTATTATTATTATAAGCTTGGGTTCCCACTCAAACACTTGTGTGGGATTTGTCACAGGTTTATCCAAGAGTAAAACCCACTCTGTGGATTGTAACCCCAGCCATTGGCTGACCTCCATCATCGCTCGCCTCCAACATTCCCCAAACACAACTTCCCCCCCGGACACACACACACAACCTCAAGCCCTCCCCCGACATACACACCGTCAATCACCTCGACACACACACGCCCTCAACCCCCAACACACACACACCCTCGACAAACCGCCCAACACAAACCATCAACACCTCTCCCACCGGCACACGCACACACCCTTGACCCCCAACACACACACACACCCTCAAACCCTCCCCTGACATACAACTGTCAATCACCCCGACACATACAACAACAACAACAACAAGATTACATTTATTGAGCGCCTTTCACGTCGGGAGGACGTCCCATACACACCCTCAACCCCCCTGATACACACACACACACACCCTCGACAAACCTCCCAAAACACACCATCAACACCTCTCCCCCCGGCACACACACACACACACCCTCGACCTGCGGTGCAAGGCACTTGACCTTTAAAGCCCTGCCTCTTTAATTTTCAATCTATTTTTAACCTCAGATTTATATGCTTAGCCTCAAAACCTGTTATAAACGGGCAAAACCGCAGTGAGTTGAGAGCGGGGCGGGGGGCGGGCAATGACTTCCTCTTTCTCTCCATCGCTTGATTTCCTATATTCTGCCCCCTAAAAAAACTAAGCGAAATCTAAAAAACTAAGAACTCTGCTAAGATTCGAGGTGGAAAGTTAACTGGTGGTTGTAGCAAATGGTTAATGTAACCTGACATGGAGTCTTGTAGCTCAGTGGTTAGAGCACTCGCTTTGCAAACGAGAGACCAGGGTTTGATTCCCGGCAGGTTGAAACCTTGGGCAAGTTTCCTTACTCCACATACCTGATAATAATCCCTCAAGAAAAAAAAACATTAATAAATTGGTCACTTCAATCCACGACTGTTTGTGGGACGCTGCTGTGTGCAATTGGCTGCCGCATTTCGCCCACAAATATACAGTCAATTCATTTTACAGTGTATTCTGTGAAGCACTTTGAGATGTCTCGAAGATGTGAAAAGCGCTATATCAAATGCAAGGATTATTATTATTATGCTTAGGGCAGACCTGGAATCTCTGGCCTCTGATCGTCATTGCTTCTCTCAGTTTCCAGCTGTGTCCTACTGCGAATCAACAGGGTTAAGAACAGTTCCTATGCCTGTCAGCGGCTAAATTCATCTCGCACTTAACTCTAAGGCCATTTCGTCTTCAGGTTCAAATGGTAGCAAGGACTCCCCCCAAATCAAGATCCCAATCTCCACAGAGAAAACCACTCGCTGTGTGCAGATTGGCTCCCGCAGTCACAAAAATCCTGTGAAACTCTTTGAGATGTCCTTGTGACGTGGTGAGGCAGTATCACATTATGATAATTTGGAAACTTGTTTCTTATTAAGAAACTGCAGGGGTGGAGGGAGGGAGGAGAGGGGGCAATGTTGGGCTGGGACAATCCGGAATCTAAGACTGACTGGAAGGGTTTATGCAATCGCTTTGGATCTGAACTTCAAATTGTCTTATAGTTTGGGGTGGAGCAAGATTCAAACATGACCTGTACGAATGGGTCCTGGTAGGGAAGTGGGGGGAGGATCCGACATGGAAATATTTCGCCCACAAATATACAGTCAATTCACGTTACAGTCCAGTCTGTGAAGCTTTGAGACGTGTCAATGACGTTGATGAGGATCTGTATCAAATACAAGGATTATTATTCCTGGGGTTGGCTCATACCGCCCTCTGCTGGTCACCAGAGGCGAGTCACGCTGACCCTGGTCACTGGCGGATTGGTTATTTGCGACCTCTATTTGGGGATTTTAACGCCCCCCTCAACCAACCCCTCCCCCACGCACCCCCACACTGTCCTGGGTGTCATTGACTCGGTTTAGTTCAGTTTCAGTGTCGGGATTAGCTCACACTGAATTAATGCCGTACCCCCCCACCACCCCCTCCACACATAAACAGCTTGAAACTGCGAGTCCTGCTCTGCCAACCTACTGGCCGGGAATGTGGCTGAAGTTGAAAGCCAAGCACCGTTTGCATCACTTTGTTGTCACCACTCATCAGCCTCCCTTCCCCCGCACCGCCCCCCCACCCCGAGCGGGAACAAGGACCAAATTACAGACAAGACAGGAGCCTCTAGACAGGGAGTAGTGGGCGGGCATTCCAATCACGTTATTTGTTCCACCCGACCCCTTGAAAAAAATTACGGTTAGCAGTTGACCACGTGCAACTCAGTTGTGTGGGAAGGCAAAATAAAATGGAGACAGCCATGGGTAGTGGGGGTGTGTGAGGGGGGCAGTGGGAGGCAGGGAAGGCTTTTTAGAGTGACTCCATGACTGACGTTCTCTCCTCCCTGTGCCCGTGGAGGCTAAACGGAGTCCTCGGCTTCTTGCGGCTGTTTGTTGGGCTCGTCGATCTCTCGCAGGCCCCAGTAGCCCAGGTTGCGCTGCAGGGAGGTGAGCACCTGTACCTGCAGGTTGGAGACGGGAGCAGGGCTGGAGGCCAGGGCGGCGTTGGCCAGGGTGCGGTTGAGCAGCGGGTTTGGGGGGTTGCAGCTCGCAGGGTGGGTGGCTTTCCAGTACGCTTCCAAGTAATCCGCCAAGTGCTCACACGCATCCTCCAACTGGTTCTCGTCCAGAATGATGTCGAACAATTCCTGTGAACGATCAAATAATAACCTTCACATTTGATATAACGACTTAACACGACACTGAGACATCTCAACACATTTCGCACAATATACTGTAAAGTGGACTGACTGTACTTTGTGCGTGAAACACACACAGCAATGTCCCACAAGCAGTCGTGCATTGGAGGGATTATTACCCCCAGAAAGCGATCAGCCAATCGACTAACAACTGGGATCTTAGTTACGGCTTGTGGAATAATGAAACTTGCCTGAGGTATTGACCGGCCCGGGAATTGAACCCACGTTTTCACTTTCAAAGTGAACTAGCTAACCATTACGCTATAGGACTGCGTAACTCCCCTCCCACCTCTCCCCTCTCCCATTCTTATCCTCTTCAGCATTCCCCTTCCCTCTCACCTCCAATCAGACCAACATTGGGCTGCGCAGTGCTCTGGTCAGGCCACACTGTACAGTTCATGTCACTGTGACATCAGGGGCTGCCCAGGCTTTAGAGACAGTGCAGAAGAGAGCAACGAGGCTAAGGACTGTCGGTTAGATAAGTCTTGAGAGAAGGCAACTCGGGGGAAGGGGGACAGTGGGACACGGGCTTAGAGTTGCGTAGAGCAATTTCAGGGACGGATCCCGTGAATATTTCTTTACTCAGAGGGTAATTAACGACTGGAACAAACAACAGAAAGGGTGGTTAAGGCCTCATTTCAGAAACAACTCGATGCTGTGATGGGAGGAAATCGGCCAGCGTTTCTGTGGGGATGAGATCAGATGGTCCGAAGGGTCTTCTTCATCTGAACCCAATCTTGTGATTTGTGATTGACACTGTGCCAAAATTACACGGAATGATACAGCACGGAAACAGGCCATTCAGCCTACTAGTCCACAAGCCTAGAAACAAGTCCAGTTTGTTCTCTATACTAGCCCCTGAATGTAAGGATAATGCTATTCTGAGCTCTTTCCTTTCCCCCCCCCCCCCGTTTCCTTCCCTCCTCCGCTCCATCCATCCGTCATCCCCCCACCCCCCCCCCGGTTCTCCAGAACCAAAGATACTGACCGGGGGGCATTGGGACAGTTTATCTGACGCCACCATCTGCACGTTGAGGTGCTTGGCCTGTGACTTGCCCCGGGATTTTACCAGACGTTGCAGTACCTAAAGGGGAGAACAGCAGATTAGAGACTTTAAATACAATGTTGTAAACTGGCAAACACTCTCCGTGTACATCACCCCCTACAGCCCTGACATTCCTGTGCTACCCCAGCTGGGAAGACCAGAGTAACAATCTTCCGGCTCAGTCTGGAAGCTGGATTTTACAGTCTCTTGAAAAGAAAGTGGCTGGATTAAGGATTCCGGATTTGTGCACAGCAATATTCCATACATAGCCATGAAGTTTCGGACTGATTTTATCTGGGGATTGTCAGTCAGGACACCAGGAGTTATTCCCTTCTCTGTTCCAACAGTGTCGCTGGACCTTTAACATCCACCTAAACAGGCACAGATGGGAGCTTGATTCAAAATCTCATCCAAAGTATGGTGCCCTCAACAATGCAGCACTCCCCGTAACTGTCAGCCTAGACTGTGAGCTCAAAGTCCCTGATTGTGGCTCAAACCCGCAATCTTGTGACTCAGATTCGAGAGTGAGAATGACTGAACCAGGCTGAGATCCTGTTGAGGACTGAGAGAAGACACAGGGCTGAAATCCACTTCTTTGCCACTTTGTCTCTTACCTTAGGTGAGGCAATCTTTATATAGACAATGATGGGAGCCAGGGAGGTTTTAGCAAGTTGTGTGGGGTGATTAATGGTGTCGGCATCGAGAGCCACCAGCTGCAGAGTCCTGGCCAACTCAAAGATTCGCTCAATCTCATTCTGAACTTCAGCTGTGGGCAAGAGTCAAGAAAGGAGGGACCTTCGATTAATACTATTCCTGGTAATAATCCTTTCATTTGATACAATTACAATACAAATTACACAGCGTTTACACGTCACTGCAGTCAAAGAGGTCGGTCTTAAAGCGCCTTTTCATCTCAGTTCTTGATTAGAGCCATAAAAAGGAACTGATGTCTTCTGATTAAAAGGTTTACTTTCTTTTGGCGTAAATGAGATGGGACTGAGTTTATTTCACAGTTTTGAATGAGCCCCAGAAATCTCAGGAGAGCAGAGCTCGGCTTAACGGATGATGTGATGGCGGCGTGAAACGTAACCAGGGGAATCCACAGCTTAGACAGCGGCAGGATCCCTCCTCCGGGACAGTTACACATAGACAGAGCTTTAACATCAGAGCAACAATGGTTACAGCTCAGGTCAGGAGACATTTCCTCACACAGAAGCTTGTGAGGATGTGGAACACCCGGCCCCAGAAAGCTGTACAGGCGAAATAAACACGGATGTTTAAAGGCGAGACAGACAGCGACCAGGGTAGGAGAAGGATTAAGATTGTGGTGTGGCAGATAATTTGGGAACAGCAACGTCCCACAAACAGCCATGAAGTGAATGAACAAATTTATCTGGAGGATTGTCAGCCAGGACGGTGAGAGAAACTCCCTTCTCTTTCCCAACAGCGCCGCGGGATCTTTAATAATCACCTAAACAGGCACAGACGGGGTCGGTTTAACGGCTCGCCTGAAGGACATCGCCTCCAACCATGGAGCGGCAGCCTGGTCTGTGTGACCCGTGTCCCCGATGCAGGGCTTGACCCCACAGGCGAGAGACTGAGCCAGGCTGACGCCTGATAAACCACATGGAGCTCAGAGATCAAAGGCAAGATATTTCCCCTCTGGAGAATGTTTACTGATCGCCTGCCCTCCTCTGACCTCTGTAAAAGGTTGGCGGACGCCAGACGGTGGAGATGTCACTAAACAGGGAACTGACCCGTCCAGAACCCACCGGCTTGCAATCCCGCAACATCACTTTACATTGCTGTCTTCATCACATTTAATACTCTCTGATAAAGATCTATCTCTCAAATTTTATACAGACACTCACACACACATTCACATATTCATACAGACAGTTACACACAAACACACGCCAACACACACCCACACACTCGCGCACACTCATACACACACACACACACTCATACAGAGACACACAGACACTCACACACACTCATACACACACACACTCACACTCATACAGAGACACACAGACACTCACACACACTCACACATACACTCATACAGAGACACACACAAGACACTCACACGCATTCACACACACAGACACACAGACAGACACACATTCACACAGACATACAGACAGACACACACACACACTCATACAGAGACACACACACACACTCATACAGACACACACTCACACACACCACTCACACTCAGACACTCACACTCACACAGAGACACACACAAACACACACACACATACACACACAGGAACTTACACACACATTCACGGAGAAACTTGCACACACACAGAAACTTAGACACAGGCAGACAAACACACACTGACACACACACCCACACACACAGAGAAACATGTACATAAACAGAAACATACTCATATAGAAACATACACATATACACAAACAGAAACATAGACACAAACATGAACATACACACACAGAAACATACCCAGAAACATCCACACACACAGAAAATTGCACATAGACAAACACAGAAACTTACACACATACAGTCACACACACTGACACACACACGCACAGAAACATACACACAAACAGAAACATACACACACATAGAAACCTACACACACACACAGAGAAACTTATACACGGACAGAAACTTACACGAAGACAGACACACACACACACAGAAACTTACACACAGACACATATACACAAACACACACACAACAACTTACACACAGACACGCACACAGAAACTTATATAATACTGAAACATACATACACACAGAAACATATACACACACACAGAAACATATACAGAGAGACAGACAGACAGCACACACACACATAAACATACACACAATACAATATTAAATTTGTATAGTGCCTTTCACATCGGGAGGGCATCCCAAGGTGCTGTCTGTGTACACACACACACAGAGAAACATACACATACAGAAACATACACATGCAGAAACATACACACACACACAGAACATACAGAAACATACACACAAACAAAAACATGCACAAAGACAGACAAACACACATAGTTACATACACACACAGAAAAATACGCACACAGAAACATGCAATCACAAATGGAAACATACAAACACACACAAAAAGAAACATGCACACACACACACACAGAAACATATACACACAGAAACATACACACACACAGAAACATACACACACACCGACACACGCACACACACGCATACACTCACACAGAAACATAAACACACGCCCAGAAACATACACACACGCACACACACACACACAGAAACATCCACACAGAAACATACAAACACACACACTCACACACAACATACATGCACACACACAAACAGAAACACAAACACACACAAAGAACATGGTTTCGCAGAGAACTCAGTGTTAGTCGGGCCACAGGATGGCAATGTGCTTCCTTCATGCTTCAGCGAAGACATTCACAGCCACAACAGTGTCTGAATCCCAGGTTCCTGTCATTGTGTATGTTATCTGTATGTTCTCTGTGGGCTCTGTGTGTTTTCTGTATGTTCTGTTTGTTCTCTGTATGTTCTCTGTGTATACTCTCCCCGTATGCTCTCTGTGTATTCTCTGTATGTTCTCTGTATGCTCTCATTATGTTCTCTGTGTGCTCTCTGTAAGTTCTCTGTGTGCTCTCTGTATGTTCCCTGTATCATAGAATCATAGAATCGTACAGCACAAAAAGAGGCCATTCGGCCCATTGAGTCTGTGATGGCTCTTTGAATAGAGCAATTAATGTCAATCCCACTCCCCAGCCCTTTCCCCATAACCTGCAAACCCGTCCTCCTCAAATACCCATCCACCGCGGTTTTAAAAGTTGTTATCGAATCGGCCTCCACCGCCCTCTCAGGCAATGCCTTCCAGATTTGAACAACTCACTGCGTGAAAAAATTTCTTCTCACCTCTCCTCTGCTTCTTTTGGAGATTATTTTGAATCTGTGACCTCGAGGATGTTCTCTGTGTGCTCTCTGTATGTTCTGTGTGCTCTCTATATGTTCTCTGTATGTTCTGTGTGCTCTCTACGTGCTCTCTGTGTCCAGACCCACTCCGACCAGGAGAGAAAGTGTCTTATTCTTATATGTGGGTTATTTGGGGAAGGATTTCCTTGGGACGGGTTTGAGGTGGTGAGAAATAAAACAGTTCATCTTAACACGAGCTTCTTCAGAAGGGTTTTGCTGAGACCCAACCCATCCCGAGCCGAACCTGTACACCTGCTGCTGGGAACACTAAAGGCAAAATTTGACCCTTGACCTGCGCTGGGTCTCGGCAATGTACGTTCCTAATGTCAAGCCGTGCTATTGTGGGGCTGAGGAGTCAGTCTGTGTTAACATGCAATCACAACCAGGGCTACACGTGCAACAGGCAATGGGGGTGGGGTGGTGTGGGAGAGGCAGAGAGAGAGAGAGACAGAGTGACAGAAAGGGGGGAGACAGAGGGGCGAAAGAGTGATTGAGAAAGATAGATGGGGGAGAGAGGAGAGAGGGGAGAGTGGGGGAGAGAGAGAGAGAGGGAAAGAGAGGGGAAGGGGAGAAAACGACCAGATGGTGGGGGAAGAGAGAGAGAAGGGAATTGGGGCAGAAAGAGGGACATAAAGAGAGCAGTTACACACAGGCTGACACGTACTGTCGGGTTGTGTTATTTGCAGTGTGATACATACCCAGAATATCTGAGATTGACAGAGGGAGAGAGTGAGAGAGAGAAACCAATACTGTGAGTATGATGGTGTGCAGAGCGAGACTTGCACCTCGTTACTTCACTGGAATCAGCCAGACCGGAGGTCAGTGTGTTATTGCAGATCGTGAGAAGGGAGAGTTAATTCTATCACAACTCTTTCCTTATTTCCTTGGGGAAAATGTCAAATGTAATCAGAAACCATCTCGGAACAAAGATTTGCAATATGTTCTGCCTGTTAATTATTCTGTCTCCTGCAATCACAATCCGAATCTTTAAAACTGAGGAACATGTCAGCCCAGACCCAGGCCATTCATCACATTGTGTCCCCCACTGGAGCTCTCGCTCCCCCATTCCCTGCTATCTCCCCATCGTGTCTGTGCTGGGGCTCGCTCCCCCACTGGAGCTCTCTACTCTATATCCAGCAATGTTCTATGTCTAAATTCTCAATCCTTGTTGTAAATGTTTTCCACTTTACTTGGTAATTTCACAAGAGAGTGCCAGATCTATTCTGATCTCAACCTTCCAGAATCCTCACCATACCATCGTCCAATTACAATCCAAATGTTTCTTAAAGGTGTCACAAGATGTTAGCCTCACTCACCCTTCCTGGTAATCCTGTTCCAGCTGTTAATCACACTCTGGGTAAAAACAATTCCCTGGGTGTCTATCCTGAAATTGCCCCTCGCAGTCATTATAAAACTCTATCCTCTGCTGTACACAGGGTCACTGGGCACCGCTTACTGGGTTTAGTAACGTTAAACCGAGCTCCCATTAAATACTTAAATAGGTTTCTTAAATTCATATTGAATTTAGCCCAAGGGAATAAAAGCAGTGAAAAGCTGGATATCTGAGGTGGAAATGATATTGTCCCACACTTCCCTCCGTGCTCTGATCAGACTCTGCAGCCAATCAGACACAGCTCTTTTACCATTACACTGCTCATTGGAGTCAAGAATCAACAAACCTGAACAAAAAGCTGAAAACACTCGGTCAGTGGTTAGTTTCAGGCTGGTGTGTGGTGCATGTTTGTGTTTATAATAATAATAATCCTTGCATTTGATATAGCGCTTTTCACGTCGGGAGGACGTCCCAAAGCGCTTCACAGAACACACTGTAAAGTGAATTGACTGTATATTTGTGGGCGAACGCGGCAGCCAATTGCCAATGTCCCACAAACAGTCATAGATTGAAAATGTCCAATTTATTATTGTTTTGGGTTTTGGAGGGATTATTATTAGGCTCTGTGTGGAGTAAGGAAACTTGCCCGAGGTTTCGCCCTCTGCCTGGAATTGAACTCAGGTCTCTCGCTTGCAAAGCGAGTGCTCTAACCACTGAGCTACAGGACTCCTGCAGAGTCAACAGCACAGAATATAGGGATGATACCAATCCAACAAGTCAGTCTCAGATTTCCTTCCCATCAGGAGGACATCTCAAAGTGCTTCCCAGGATTTTACGGTAAATTACTTTGTATTTTTTGGGGAACTCTGCAGCCAATTTACTAGACAGCAATGCTGCACAAATAGCCACGTAAACACCCAACTAAAATTAAAATCCTCAATATTATTTGGGCGTATTCATAGCCAGAACACCAGGAGAAAGAAACTCCCTTCTCGTCTCCCAATACTGTCATGGGATTTTTAATTGTTACCTGAATAGGCACAAACGGGGAGCTCGGTTTAACGCCTCATCCGAAGGACGGCACCTCCAACAATGTAGCGCTTACCCCCAGCACTGCACTTGAGTGTCAGACTCAAAGTCCTCGACTTGGGACTTGGGACTTGCGACAGCGCTACTGGCCGAGCCGGGCTGAGTCAGTCGTTTTATTGGAAGAGGAATTTCTGAGCTGGGAAGAGAGGAGGGATACTTACCCAGACTGGAGCGAGTGCTGGAGCGTTCGACTAGCGTGTGTTTATTAGGATTGTTCAACACTGACCTCTTGGCAAGAGAGATGTCAGCAGTGACCCGAGTAATGGATATTCTGGAGATAGAATGACAACAACAATTACATTTACATAACCATGTCGAGTGGATGTCCCAATCTGCTGGACAGTCATGGATTTGGACCTGAGCAGAAGGTTGGGATAAGGAGGGGCGGAGGGCAGGGAGGGTAGGGGCAGAAGGGTGGGTGAAGGGGCGGTTGAAAAGGAGGGTCTTGAGACATGGCCTTTAATTTTGAAGCTGCTTTTCTGAAAGTTTCTTCCGAGACTTGGAATTTTAGCCCCAGAAAGACCTTACCTTCAAATAGCCCCTAAACTGCATTTGCAGATGAGATGTAAGACAGTCAGCAATGAGATGTTAATGACAGGGATGGTGTCTTATCCTGCAGTCACCACGTGGGGGGGAAGGGGGAAGAGAAGTGCAGTGTCTAACTCAACCCAGATAGGCCCACCTGCCTGTTCAATGAACCCTGTTATACCATAGTAGTTGGGGGAGGGGTGTGTGAGCCTGTAAAATCCCAACCAGGTTTATAACAGGACGCAATCGCCAGTCAGCACATTTGTTCTGTAATGCCACCCATCACTGCTGTCACTGGCCATGCACAGAGCACAGGAAGTGATATCGAGCCGATGACCCGCAAGTCAGCATCTTTTAGTCCCCCGGCTGCCAATGTTCTGATGAAGCTCCGCTGAGCCCAAGCTTGGGGAGGATTTAATTCAGGGACGATAGGAGGGCTAAGAGTGGTGGACACACCTATTAAAAATAGGCAGCGGTTCATCCCAGCAAGCAAGTTTAACGTAGAATCTAATCAGATTCACTGGACCAGGGACACAGCCCAAACCATAATTAAACAATGGCCTTTAGCCAATACTACTTGACAATCAAAGGCTGTTGTTGGTGTCCTTACCTTCCGTCAAACTTATGTTTCAAAAAGTCAAACAAAGCTTTCTGCATCATGTCAGTCACCTAGACAGAGAGAGGGAGAGAGGGTCAGACACCATTCACTCCCCGCTTCAGGTTGAGAAAAATACATTCCCTTCTCTTTTTGAATAGCGTTGCAGGGACCTTTAATGTCCTATTGATCAGGAAGACGCGACCTTGCTTTAATATCTCATTCAAAGGACGGCATCCCCAACAGTGCAGCTCTGTCCCCTGCAATGCAATGGAGCATCTCTCTGAGTTTGAATCCCCCACGTGGAGTTTGAATCCAGCAGTGAGAGTGTGACTGATTGAGCCAGGCTCAGCCCAGGGCCACTGGAGGTCTGACAGCCCAGCCTCCCTGCTGCTTACCTCATAGCCCTTCAGTGACGGTCCCACTAAGATGATGGGTCTCATGGATGGCACAACATCGTAAGGAGGGATATTTTCTTGCTGCCAGAGAAACACAAGGACAGATATCACAACATAACAGGCCCATAATTACCCCACTGCCCTCTACACTCGTTTTGGATACCTTTGTGAATTTTCCAGGGAAATAGTTTTGCCATTGTAGAAAGGGGAGAGACAAAGAAGGTCAGAGGGAGACACAAGGAGAGACAGAGAAGGAGAGAGGGAGAGGCAGAGAAGGAGAGAGGGAGAGACAGAGAAGGAGAAAGGGAAACACAGAGGAAGAGATAAAGAAGGACAGAGGGAGAGACAGAGGGATAGACAAAGGAGATAGGGAGAGACAGAGAAGGACAGAGGGAGAGACAGAGAGGAGAGAAGGTAAACAGAGGTAGAGACAGAGTACATAGAAAGGGAAAAAAATAAAACAGTGAGAAGAAGGGAGAGAGAAAGACAGGGAGAGATGTAGTGGGGGAGAGAGACAGTGGAGGAGAGAAAAAGAGGGGGAGAGACAGGGAGGGAGATACAGGGGAAGAATTGGGCTGGAAGAGAGAGAAAAATGAAAAATAGTCAATTCAGATCATTGCTCACTAAGAAAACTATGCTGTTTGATTTGATGGAACTCCACTTGAGTGGGCGGGTGACCAGGGCTAACCACACCGAGAGCCATAGCCCGCGAGGATCTCGATGGACTCAATTTATGAATTATTTCCAAGTCAGGATTTGGCAAACTCTTAAACTCGGCCTTAATTTTGAAAAACAGGTTAAGTTTCCTCCAGCTCGCAGATGACGAACGAGTTCCTGATATTATTTTAAACAGTTCTGCACCATCAATTTTGAGGCACCGAGAAAAGGTCTTGCAGGCTGAGACTAGTTGGAATTTCAGCCCTCCTGTGTCGGCTGCTTGCGAGCAGCACCGTCAGAACAAGACCAACTCGCAGTCAGGTCAGGTCTGGGACGTTGCCCTGTGTGAGGGGACGCTGTATAAATGCAAATTGTTGTTGTTGTCAGGGATTCTTTGAACGAAGATGGTTTCCAGATATCTGTGCTCAATTTACTTGCTACCGGGTTCTATACACAGCGGAATCCCCACCGTAACATGGTTAGGACAGAAGGTCATTTTTTATTGACATGGCCAACCTCCAGGTCATCACGTCGCTGATGTCACTTCCTCTGCGCTGCAGAGTGCCGAAAGCTGGACAGGAAGTGAGCGGCGGGCTCTGTGTGGTTCCAACGTCACCGCGTGAAGCAAATGCGCGTGATATCAATTAACCCTTTATTGCCATTCTGTTACATTCTTTGAGACTTGTTCCCTTCTAAGGAAAAGGCTCTTGCCAAGCGCTGCCATGATGCTGCGATGCAAGCAAGTGCAAGTTATTACTCTCTGGCAGTAAGCACGTGTAGGTTATTTATCACATGACTGGTGGCACAGCATCACAACCTCACCATAACTTCATAGAATCATAGAATATTACAGCACCAGAGGCCATTCGGCCTATCGTGCCTCTTTGGAAGAGCTACCCAACCAGTCCCACTCCCCCGCTCTTTCCCCATATCCTTGCAGACTTCAAGGGGAACCTAGTTCATTTGCAGAAATTCCACCTGATCTTAGCCTGATGTTCAGATTTAAGGTGGCACCAGAATTGAGGGAAAATCATCAATTCCCGCCTCAGTTCAGAAGCCATTTTTTCTCTTTTAAAAACAACCAGGCATCTGAATGGTTAAGTCCGAATGGAAGAATTCACCATGATTTCAATTTTAAAGGCAGAAGAAAACCAAGAACAAACTGGGCCGAGACAGGTTGCGAGTAATTTGTATCACCATTGGCGGTCAGGCCTTCAGCCTCTCTGCGCCCACCCTCTGGAACTCCATCTCACTGTCCCTTCACCTTGCGCCCTCCCTTGTCTCTTTCAAGGCCCCTCTCAAGACCCTACTCTTCGATCGCACTTTTGGCCACCCTCCTAACCCACCCTCCCTGCTATCCACCTCTCCTGATCACAACCCCCAAATCCAAATCACTGACTGTCCAGCGCCTTGGGACATCCTCCCGACATGAAAATGTAAATGTAAATGTAATTTCTTGTTGTCACACACAGAGTTTATAAGTTGACAAATTCCGCAAGAGACCGAAATCGCCAAACGGATCTGAGGTTTCAGCCTCTGAGAAGGACAGAAATTCTGACCAAATGCAGCTGAGACGTCCAGTTATCCTGTAAATGAGAAGCTTCCTTAACACCCACTGTCTCTCCGCCCACCCCACCCCAGGTCAGATTGTAACATGAAGCATGGGTAAAGAAAGCAAACTTACCGATTTCTGCTTCTGTTTGGCTGGTCGAGTGCGTGAGGAGGAAGACAGACCAAGAAGAGAATAACAGAGCATGCAGGTTACTGGCATGTCACCTAGCCGGTGTAAGCAGCCAACAGAGAGAGCTGTGCGCTGGTTAGTGTGCTGACCAGCCAGGCAGGGTGCCCCGCAATCCCAGTTACCTTCTTAAAGAAAGGTATCCGCTTTGCATTGGCTGGCGGAGTGGTGACACTGCTAGAACTTGTTTTAGGGGATCGGTGGTTTGTCTGGGGCTGACTCTCTTCCACATCTAAGTCAACAGCATCTAGGTCAAAAACTATGTTAGACACGTCCGCCTGACCTGGGGGAGAAGGGAAGAGGACGTAGATGTAACGTAGACCAAGAAGAAAGCGGAAAAATAATAAAGAGCGACTTCGGAGGCAGAATTGGTCACGGAGTCATACCCTGACTCAAATTCCACTCGGTCTTAGCCTATAAGCCCATCCTGCCTTGAAATTCAAGATGGCACAAAATGTGATGCTACAGACTAGTACAAGGAGGAATTTTGGGTCTCCTGTACCCATACGAGAAACATGTTTACAAACTCCAATGCGTGTTTGTGTGTGTGCTTGCATGTTCTTGCTTCTTCTTGCAATTTTGTGCCCGAGATCTTCAGAGGTTAGACAATGAAAGATTATTTCCGCTCTCTAGCCAATTGGGGATTGTCAGCCAGGACATTGTGAGAATAACTCCCTTCTCTTTTCCAGTCTTTAACATCCACCTGAACAGGCACAGACATAACATCTAGTATGAAGGATTGCGCCTGTGACAATGCAGTGCTCCCCCAGCCCTGTCCTGGAACATCACTTTAGAATGTGAGGGCTTGAACACCCACCTTCTGACTCAGAGGCGAGAGTGACGGTACCAGGCTGACACACAAATACCACCAGAAGAGGTTAGAGGAAGGTGAGAAGACCTTTTCAAACAGACGCCGCTAATCTTAATTTAACAAATCATTATTTTCTGCACTTCTTAAAAAAGAATACTGAAGACTGAATGATAGAATTCTCCATCATTTCAGCCGCATCTTAAAGTTTAACACAAAACAGTTCCGACAGTTAAAACAAGGTGGAATTTGGGGCCCATAAAGAGAGCAAGGAACTGGGATTAGAGTGTGCGACTGAAGTGGAGGAGTTGTGCTCACACTGGCTTAGTGGCCGATTGGCCTCCCTCTGTGCTGTGATTTGTATGATCCTGACATTATAAATGTAGAGATCGCTAACTTTAGCAATCAGTGTACAGAAGGCCCCTAGCATCGGTGAGTTTGAGTCTAAACCCCAGAGAGAGAGACTAACATACACCCAGTAAACCTTCATCACCAGATGTAGAATCATAGAATCTCACAGCACAGAAGGAGGCCATTCAGCCGATCGTGCCTGTGCCAGCCCTTTGAAAGAGCTACCAACTCATCCCACTTTCCCGCTCTTACCCCATGGCACTGAAATTGTTTTTCCTTTTTAAGTTCCTTTCTAATTCCCTTTTGAAAGCTACTATTGAATCTGCTTCCACCGCCCTTTCAGGCAGTGCATTCCAGACCATAACAACTCACAGCATTAAAAAACATTCTTCTCGTCTTCCCTCTGATTCTTTGAGAACTACCCCAAATCTGTGTCCTCTGGTTACCAACCCACCCATCAGAGGAAACAGTTTCTCCCCATCTACGCTATCAAAACCCCTCATAATTTTGAACACCTGTATTAAACCTCCCCTCAACCTTCTCTGCTCTAAGGAGAACATTCCCAGTTTTTTTCATCTCTCCACATAACTGAAGTACCTCAAAGACCATGTCTTACCGGCTGCAGGCGATGTTGATCGCTTGGGGGCAGGCACCTCTCCTAAACTGGAGTTCGAGTTTCCACCTGATTTGCTGAAATCAATATATATACATTTTAAAAATGTCAGAGAAAGAAATGAGAAATAATAATCTCGCACCAATTAATAATCACACGATAATTAATTTGCACAGCGCAGGAGCTCAGCCAGTGGAATCTAAACCAATGAAGGAATCCTGTGTGAAACCCCCAAACAGCCGTGAAAAGAGGGAGTGATTTTATCCAGGGGATTGTCGGCCAGATCAGGAGAGAGAAAGTCCCTTTTCTTTACCCAACAACTCTGTGGGATCTTTAACGTCTGTCTGAACAGGCACAGGGGAGGGAGCTCGGTTTAACGTCTCATCCCGAACAATAGCAGATATGACAAGATTCCCCCCCACATCACTGCGTTGGAGCATCTACACTGTAGTTCAGGGTCCTCAGAAGGAAGGCAGAGAAGAGCTTTCATTTTTTTTGGTCATGTGGAAACCCATCCCCGTGTTTAAGAGTCTCCTATCCAAGCTGAGATTTCCATGTATCCCACCTACACATGGAAATTGCAGAGATAGATTGTTGGAATGGAATGCGGACTCTCTCCCTGGAGGGATGCTTCCTGCTTACCTAATTCCAGAAAGTATTAGGCACAGGATGGCAACCAAGGCTTGGGGATCCCAGAGTGTGGTTGGGTAACAGCTTTAACTGTAACTTCATGTGCAGCGGATTATTACAGCCATCCCTCCCCATGGGCTAAACTGCCCTCCACCCTCGTCCACCTCCTCTGAACTCCTCTCCCTCTGGCCTTCAACCCTCACCGACCCCTCTTCTCCTCTCTCCCTCCTCCACAATACCCTCTCCTCCACACTCGATACTCTTGCCCCCATCACTTCCCGCACTGTCTCCTACTCCCGCTCCTCCCCCTGGTACACCACCCACCTCCGCTCACTGAAAAGCCAGGTGCGGGCTGCTGAACGCACCTGTGTCAAATCTGGCCTAACGGTCCACCGACAAATCTGGCTGGACCTCCTCAAAATTTACCGCTCCACTCTAGCCTCGGCCAAGTCGTCCTTCTACTCCAGGATAATCCTGGAGGCGAAGAACAACCCCAGGCTACTGTTTTCCACCACAACCCGACTCCTCCGTCCCCCCCGCCACCCCGCGCAGGTCATCTCCTCCAACCTTCACTGCGAGGAGATGCTGGATTTCCTTGAATCCAAGATCAAGGGAATCCGCTCCGCGGTCACTTCCCCTCCAACTTCCACCCACCACCCACCCCTTCCCTCCCACACTCCGACTCCTACCCATCCTCCCCTACACACCTTCGTACCCGTTTCCCCACCCTCTGTCACTGAACTCATCCTATCCCTAAAACCAACCACCTGCTCCCTTGACCCCATCCCCACTCCACTCCTTATCTCCCAGCTCCACTTTCTTGCCCCACATATCACTGACATCATCAACCTGTCCCTCTCCTCTGGCTCTGTCCCCATTCCATTAAAAACTGCCATCATCACGCCCACCCTGAAAAAACCCTCCCTTGATGCGTCGCAGCTATCAAGCTACCGGCCCATCTCCAACCTCCCCTTTCTCTCCAAGGTCTTGGAAAGAGTTGTCGCCTCCCAACTGCGCTCTTTCCTTTCCACCCATTCTCTTTTCGAACCCCTTCAGTCAGGTTTCCGTGCTGCCCATAGCACAGAAACTGCCCTGGTCAAGGTCACCAATGATATCCTGACCATCTGTGACCAGGGCTCCCTCTGTCTCCTCGTCCTCCTCGACCTATCGGCAGCATTCGATACGGTCGACCACGCTATCCTACTCCACCGCTTGTCCTCCCACCTCAACCTTCAAGGCACTGTCCTTGAATGGTTTAGGTCGTACCTTTCTCACCGTCTTCATTTCGTCTCGACGAATGGCTTCTCCTCCACCCCCGCACTGTCTCATGTGGTGTCCCTCAGGGCTCTGTCCTCGGTCCCCTCCTCTTCACCCTCTATATGCTCCCCCTTGGTGACATCATCCGCAGACATGGAGTTAACTTCCACATGTATGCGGATGACACCCAACTCTACCTTTCCTCCTCTACTCTCAACTCCACGACCACCGATGTCCTGACAGCTGCCTGTCCGACATCGAGTCCTGGACGAGAGACAACTTTCTTCAGCTCAACGTGCGAAAAACCGATTGGCTCACGTCAGCGCCTCCGCACCTCAGGCGCTGACACCATCAGCATCCAAGGCTGCACTCTCCACCTCTCAAAGCCAGTCAGGAACCTCGGCGTTTTGTTCGACCCTGAGCTGTCCTTTCTCCCTCACATCCGCACCACAACTGGCACCGCCTTCCATCACCTCCGGAACATCGCCAGACTACGGCACTACCTCACCCCTCACGCTGCTGAAACCCTGGTCCACGCCTTTGTCACCTCAAGGCTGGACTATGGGAACTCTCTCCTCGCCGGCCTTCCCGCCCCTCCCTCCACAAGCTGCAGGTCATTCAGAACTCTGCAGCTCGTGTACTGTCCCGCACCAGGCTTCGGGACCACATCACTCCCACCCTCGCTCGCCTCCACTGGCTCCCCATCCCCCAGAGGATTGATTTCAAGATCCTCATCCTCACCTACAAGGCCATTCACGGCCTTGCTCCCTCCTACCTCTCCAACCTACTATCCCCTACCTACCTGCCCGTACCCTCCGTTCCTCTGGCTCCGGTCTGCTCCACGTCCCCCGCCCCAACCGCCCTACCATCGGTGGTCGGGCCTTCAGCCTCTCAGCCCCAGGCTCTGGAACTCCATCCCCCAGTGCCTTCGCCTTGCTTCCTCCCTTTCCTCCTTCAAGGCCGGTCTCAAAACCTTTCTCTTTGACCGAGCCTTCAGCTCCCCTCTCGACTCTCTTCCCCTCCTCGCTCCCTCCCTTCCCTCCCCTCACCCTGACCATTTCCCCCTCCTCGCTCCCTCCCTTCCCTCCCCTCACCCTGACCATTTCCCCCTGCTCGGGTCATGACCCAACTGTGCAGCGCCTTGGGACGTCCTCCTGACGTGAAAGGCGCTTTATAAATGGAATCTTGTTGTTGTTGTTGTTGATGTGTCCCAGTACTTTCTCTTCACCTTGACAGTCGGCCTTGCCTCATCTTCTGCTCCTGTTGCAGCCTCATGTTCTCCAGCTTTACAGGACTCGGAATGAATCCAACTTCACATCCGTCCCTGACCAGTCGGCCTATCCACCAGTCATTGTTGTATTTCTGAATGTGAGAAGGGAGCAGATATCAGTCAACACAAGGTCAGATGCTCAGTTCAGATGAAGAAGACCATTTGGCCCATCTCATCCCTCCAAAACACCCGCCCTACTGTCCCCCCGCCACAGCATCGAACTGCTTTTTGAATGAATCCCAGTTTCCTGGCCTCAACCACTCTTCCCTGGGCAAACCTGTTCCAATTGTTATTTACCCTCTGGGTAAAGAAAAACTTTCTGGGGTCTGTTTTGAAATTCCATTTAAAATTTTGTACACCTCTGTGAGGGTTAAAGTTTTGGGTGGGGGGCGGGTGGGGGCGCTACCTGCTGGAATCTAATCAGCTAAAGCCATTGAGAGCACTGCCTCGCAAGCTTTCCAACTGCTTGACCAGCTTGTAGCACCCTACCCTTTAGGCTGCAGGTTTAACAGGAGCTGAGTGGAAAGACTTCCTGCCCTCAGTGACTGGTCTGCCCTCCCAAGTCCTGCCGATGAGCCAGGCTGGGCTGTGTTGTCATCAACAGTGTCCTGGAATACTGAGGACACACCTGGCTCAGGAACTGGACTAGAGACCATCACAGAGGGAGGACTCGAGTCTAACATTCTGTTGTCAAGCACATCACCAAGGAGCCAAGGAGACTCCGCTTACCCCCGCTCTCCCTCTCCGCACAGGAGGGTAGTCACTCGTCGGCTCAGTGGGGGGAGATGAGGAGGATTGGAGACATTCAAACGTGCTCCTCACTGACCTCTTTGATGTGAAGAAAATCTTTTGTTTCAAAGGAGATGGCCACTCCTTGCACAGGGACCTCGTCGCTCTGGCTGGGGTTATACCCCACATTCGTCCGCACCGCGAAGGCCACAGGTTTGGTCTGATGGAAGCAATGGCAGCTCAGTTGCACATCATCAACAACAACTTGCATTTACACAGCGCACCTCAGGCAGGGCAGCGACCCAGAGCACGAGGCCAAGCTGGGGAGAAGCGGGGGTGGGTGACCATAATTTGATCACACAATCCACTTTGTGGGACGCTGCTGAGCGCAATTGGCTGCCACGTTTCGCCCACAAAATATACAGTCAATTCACTTTACATTATATTCTGTGGAGCGCTTTGAGGCGTCTCGAAGATGTGATAAGGCGCTGTGTCAAATGCAAAGATTATTAAATATTATTACTATTATTATAGGCACAGTTGAAGAGGAAGATCTTCAGGCGTGACCTGAAGATGGGAAAGGAGCTGAACGCTCAGCTTCTGAACCAAAGCCCAGGGATTCCCCCAGTTGAGGCCTCGCGTTAAATTTGATGACACGGCGCTGACTTCAGACCTGAGATCGGGTGGAAGTCGGGGACTGGACAGAGCGCCTCACCTTTGCCTTCTCGAGCTGAGCAAGAGCCTGGCACTCAGCCTCCTTGCGAAGCGCCTCTCTATCCTCCTCCAGGGAGACATCCGAGTCTGAGGGCCGGCTGGTATAGGAGTCCGCAGAGCCCTGGGGCAGGACACACACAAGCTCGGTTAGTGAGTCGGGGAGATTCTCCCAGCTCCTGACTCCTGGCTGACAATCCTCCCACCATCCTCCCCCACCAAAAAAAATTGATCATTCGTTTCACTGCGTTTAATGGACGGGAAGTTGCTGTGTGCAAATTGGCTGCTGCTTTCGCCCACAAACTCACAGTCACGGAACTTTACAGTGAAATCCTGTGAAGAGTTTTGAGACGTCCCCCAATTGATAAGGCGCTGTGTCAAATGTAAAGATTATTATTATTGGTAACAGGGAGAGAAGCTCAAGCCTGTCACCGGGAGTTAAACGCTCAGTTGAAGGTTGTATTTTTGAGGGCTGTTAATATCATCATCAGGAGAATGAAAACTGAAAAACCCAGAGGCTGATTACACCCTCCTGGGATACCCCCCACCTCTCACATAGTGTTACTGGAGCTCTCTACTCTAATCCCATTCCCTGTTCTCTCCCGATCGTGCACAATTCCACAATGTGGGTAGGTCCATCTGCACATTTAAAGTGAAAGCCTGATTCCAGGTTACAGCCCCCACCATTGGGGAACTGGGTGTAAGGCTCTCCTGACTCTTGCATTGATGAGAGACTGAATGAATAAGAGAGAGTGTGAGAGAGTGAATGAGTGAGAGAATCAGAAAGAGAGATTATCAGAGAGTGTGTGGCAGAAAGAGAATGAGAGAGTGTGAAACAGAGAGTGATAGAGTGAGAGTGACGCAGAAAGGATGAAGGCAGATCAGTCGGTGTGTGGGCTGTTACACAGACACTGGGGTCAGTAGTTATAAACTCCGCCAGGTTCACACATTATAATGGGGTGGGTGTGCGGACAGAGGCTGCTTCCAGGTGATGGCAATCTCCATGGTAATGTGTGACCAGTATTATAATGTCAGGAGTATAACCCACCCCCAGGTAACAATAATAATCCTCAAATCTGATCCAGCGCCTTTTACGGCATGAGGACATCACCCCCTCACACACACCTTCCATTACCCCCACACACACACCCTCACACACACCCTCCAACACACCCTCACGCACACCGCCCCAACACCCCCCCACACACACTTCCAACACACCCTCACAAATCTAACATACCATCACACACCTCCAACACTCCTTCACCCATACCCTCCCAAACCCCCTCCCAAACACACCATCTAATAACCCCTCATACACACCCTCCAACACCCCATACACACACCCTCCAACACACTTCCACACACACCTAACACTCCCTCGCGCACACCCTCCAACACCCCCACCATACACACTCTCCAACACACCCTCCACTCCCTCACACACACCCTCCAACACAACCTCACTCACATCTTCCAACACTCCTTCACAAGCATCCTCCACACATCCAACACTCCCTCACGCACACCCTCACACGCCCCCTCACGCACACCCTCACGCACACCCTCACACACCCTCCAAACCCCCTCCACACACACACTCCAACACCCCTTCACCACCCTCCAACACCACCCTACACACACCCTCCAACACCCCTTCGCATATGCCCTCCAACACCCACCCCCACCCACACACACCCTCCAACACACTGCTCATACACACCCTCCGACACCACCTCACACACACTCTCCGACCCCCCTCACACACTCTTCAACACACCCTTACACACACCTTCTTCCAACACCCCTCACACACACCCTCCAACAACCCCCCCCACACACCCTCAAATACAGCCTCCAACACCCGCTACACACATTTCCCTCCACCGTGCCACCCGTCCCCCCCACCCCGTCCCCCCCACCGTGTGATGTCGCTCTGTAAAAAAAAACCCAAATCATAAAAATCATAAGAAACACGGCCCCAGGTGAGGTTTGTAAACACAGCGACTCCTCGTCTATAACGAGAGTCAGAGTGAAAGGCAGCGAGTGACCCGGGCACCCAATAAGGAATGTCCCGTCTATCTTTAGAGTCATTATGTGCTGGTGATTTCTATTTCCCTCTCTCTCACGCAAACTCCAAGTGCCGTTAATTCACCCACAAAATACACAGTCACAACGCTTGACAGCAGAACTCTGTGAAGCTCTTAGAGATGTCCTCCCGATGGGAAAGCACTGTGTATTACGTGTAAGGCTTGTTATTGCCATTGGCGTTAATTCTTTTTCAGCCATCCTCAGGGCTGACGGTGGCTGGGAAAGGACTGGGGTGGGGGCTAGGGGGTACAATTTGTGGACTGAACAAGGTAACACTTACCAGGAGACCCCGATGTTCCTTTGGTAAGGTGGTCATGGCTTTGGGTCGCTCTCTGGGTGAGCGCGGAGGGGTCCGGCTGAGGAGCTTTTTGCCCACAGCTGTCCGAGCTCGGGATAGAGAGAGGTCAGGTTACAGGAATATGCAACATTTGCAACCTGTTAAATATATTTATAGCTTTCCCAGAGGCCGGAGTCAGACTGAGACCCGAGTCAGGCAGCAACACTGGGGGGTGAGAGTCACCCAATAGCACTCTTACGCAGTGACCGTCAAACCCGCTCGGACTCAAATCCCCATTGCGTTTTTTTTTGGGGTGGGCGGCGGGGCTGGGGAGTGGGGGATGATCATAATATTTGTTGTTGGTGTAAAATACCGGGGAGGGGAATGGCAATTGAAGTGGGGAGAGTTTTCTCCACAATGTTCACTCTTGGTTTGTGAGGCTCTCCTCACTCTCCTCCCCAACACATACGACTTCCCCCCTAGAACAGTCCACTGCTCCATCTATCTCTCTCCCCCCACACCCCACCCCTCCTCCACTCTCTCTCCCCTCACAGTTACAGGCTGGGCTGTCTTGCTCCCCGTCACTCTCATGCATTGGGCTGTAGCTGCTCCCTGACCTGGAGAAGTCTCCAGAGAGCCGGAAATTCAACCCCAGCTCCTTCTGCCTCGCTTGCAACATTACGTCCTGTTTTGGTAGCAAGTGTGTGTGTGGGAGGGGGGAGCATGGGGGGATTGTGGGGGGCAGAGCTCAAGATAATCTAAGGATTGTTAATCAGTTGAAAGCACTCGCTCACTCTCCTCGATTTGTGGTTAACTCTTAATAATAACAATCCTTGCATTTAATATAACGCCTTATCATATGTGGTTGAGACGTTTCAAAGCGCTTCACAGAATATACTGTAAAGTGAATTGACTCTGTATTTTGTGGGCGAAACGTGGCGGCCAATTGCGCACAAGAAGGTCCCACAAAGAGTCATAGATTGAATGACCAAATTATTATTAGTATTTTATTCACTTTGCTCACTCGGTCAGATCGAAAGAGGTCACTGTGGTGTTAAAGGTTACATGGATGGCTCGGGTGCGGGGAGGGAGAGAGAGGACAGGAAGTTTAGAGGTGTTGACCAGTATCACAAATATTTTTTTTAAAACACACTTTGACCTCAGTTACAGTCACTCCCTAGGGGTAATAATCCCTTCAAAAATTAAATAATAAATAATAATAATTTGGTCACTCAACCCACGACTGATTGTGGGATTTTTCTGTGCGCAATTGGCTGATACGTTTCACCCACAAAATATACAGTTAATTCATTTTACAGTATATTCTTAACGATGTGATAAGGTCCAATATCAAATGCAAGGATTATTGCTATTATTATTCTATAACGAGGTTTGTGTCAATTAAATACAAAGTAGAGGCTTTAAAGCCACATGTAACAGGCTATAAACAACAACAACAACAACAACAACAAGATTCCATTTATAAAGCGCCTTTCACGTCAGGAGGACGTCCCAAGGCGCTGCACAGTTGGGTCATGACCCGAGCAGGGGGGAAATGGTCAGGGTGAGGGGACGGAAGGGAGGGAGCGAGGAGGGGAAGAGAGTCGAGAGGGGAGCTGAAGGCACGGTCAAAGAGAAAGGTTTTGAGACCGGCCTTGAAGGAGGAAAGGGAGGAAGCGGCGAAGGCACTGGGGAATGGAGTTCCAGAGCCTGGGGCTGAGAGGCTGAAGGCCCGACCACCGATGGTAGGGCGGTTGGGGCGGGGGACGTGGAGCAGACCGGAGCCAGAGGAACGGAGGGTACGGGCAGGTAGGTAGGGGGATAGTAGGTCGGAGAGGTAGGAGGGAGCAAGGCCGTGAATGGCCTTGTAGGTGAGGATGAGGATCTTGAAATCAATCCTCTGGGGGATGGGGAGCCAGTGGAGGCGAGCGAGGGTGGGAGTGATGTGGTCGCGGTGTCTGGTGCGGGACAGTACACGAGCTGCAGAGTTCTGAATGACCTGCAGTGTGGAGGGAGGGCCGGGAAGGCCGGCGAGGAGAGAGTTCCCATAGTCCAGCCTTGAGGTGACAAAGGCGTGAACCAGGGTTTCAGCAGCGTGAGGGGTGAGGTAATGGCGTAGTCTGGCGATGTTCCGAAGGTGATGGAAGGCGGTGCCAGTTGTAGTGCGGATGTGAGGGAGAAAGGACAGCTCAGGGTCGAACAAAACGCCGAGGTTCCTGACTGGCTTTGAGAGGTGGAGAGTGCAGCCTTGGATGCTGATGGTGTCAGCGCCTGAGGTGCGGAGGCGCTGACGTGAGCCAATCAGGAGGGCCTCGGTTTTTCGCACGTTGAGCTGAAGAAAGTTGTCTCTCGTCCAGGACTCGATGTCGGACAGACAGCTGTCAGGACATCGGTGGTCGTGGAATTCAGAGTAGAGGAGGAAAGGTAGAGTTGGGTGTCATCCGCATACATGTGGACGTTAACTCCATGTCTGCGGATGATGTAACAGGCTATAAACCTACAGGGAAAGGTGTTAGAGCTCAGAGCATGGCAGATCGCAGCGCTTTGCTCTCTGTCTCTGCTACACGCCCGGGTTTGGCAGCTCTGGGTTATTAAATAAACATACACCATTTCTCTAAGCTCAGCCTCATGAATTGGCAGCGATCGCCATAGCAACCTCCACACGAGCAAAGAGCTGAGAGTGTGAGTCTCGCTGCTCAGCGGTTGCTGGGAGATGGTAAATGTTTGTATGAGCAGTGACGAGGCTTCGTGGGGGG